CAACATGAATATTGCTTTCATGCTCATTTGAAGTAAACCACTGCATATCCTCCTCAGTAAATTCTAAACAGTTTAAAAGGCGTAATTTTGCTGGAGTCACGTAAACCTTTTTGCGTAGCGAACGTGCAACCTCCAAGAATAGCCTTTCTTTTCCAATTGTATAGCTGCCAATCATAAAAAGAGTCTGGGGATTAAAAGCTTCTGCTTGAATGGCGTCAATAACAAATTGTATTACAGCTTCTTGTTTTGGAAAATCATACTGCGGATTGCAGTATGTGGTATCAAGAATTAAAGTATTAATAGGACGTATCTGCAGGAAAGGGTTGTTTGCCATTTCTTCACTATAACGAAAATCACCTGTGTGAAGCACCACCTGACCATTAGGAGGTTGAAAGAGTATTATTATGGAGCCAGGACAGTGGTTGGCATTCAAGCAAGTCACGCCAATACCATCTATTTCAACCTTTTGGTTTAGAGGCAAAATATGTAATTTATCATATGAAATCCCTATGTTCATATTTACAAGTCTAGCTGTAACAGAGGAGCAATAGATCTTTCCATGATTGAACGACTTGGTGAGACCTTGATAATGGTCCATGTGGAAGTGCGTAAGAAACCAGTGGGAACAATCTCCTCTTAGGTATTTGAAAGCATCCACACGGAAAGGTGTTCCTTGTATGGCACACCATTTAGGAACATCACGATTCTTTGTACTTGTTGACATATTGTGTGCTTGCCGACTCCTTTTACTTTTAAGTATGATTTGTTCCTCCTTTTTTTAAATTTTCTGTCATGAAATGGGCCGGGTAGCACATGTTGTATGATGAATACAAAGTTGGTGACATGAGACAATTTGTTTGTTGCTTTTGCAAATAGAATTCCATGAATTTTCTGTAATAAAAAGATGTGGCAGGCACGTGTATAAATTAATGTGTATTAAAAACTGCTCAAAAATGGATTTTTATTTCTCCCCTTTTGTTTCTTTGGAATGAGATGGTTTTGAATGGTGGTGGATTCAAAAATCCTCAATGGATCCTTTTGTAAATAGGCTTTTGACGAGTATTGTGCTTGGAACTTGATTAAGGAAAAAACACAATAGTTAACCTTAGAATCTTCATGTTAATCCAACAACTTCAATTGCTTAATTTATAGCCTCCTTGAAGTACAAACCAAACATCGAATTATTCTTCTTAAAACAAGGTTAAACATAAATCAAACTCGGATCTCGAATGAATTATATTTCTGAACCAATAAAAACCAACAACAAACAAATCTCTGAAATTTTTATTTGCACTACCATACCATCCTTTCACCATACAACAAACTCTTATTCAACAACATGCCATTCAGCTCATGCATATCTCGTCCTTGATACTAAAATAGACCCTCCTTCTGGCTGAAGAATTAAATCAAATCTGAACTTCCACACATACTTCTCTCATCCGAAACCTGGTCCAATTCAACTCAAACTTATAATGGAAGCCCCAAATTATATATTCCTTTTTTTGATTTTCTGAATAATGGTGGGCGAATAAATACACAGATGCAAGTTACAAACAGGGTAAGGCAAATTTGGGGTATGCTTATGCAATGCGATATGCTAATGCAATGAAATGAAACATAAGCCAAAGAGGTAGAAAAGAGGTTGGTCAAATTTTGGGGTGCAACAATATGTTTTAAACCACTTAGTCAATTTCTCTCTTTTACTTGCAAATATTTTTATAATCAAACCAAACAATTTTAAAACCTCAAGTGCTTTTGTTCAACTGAATTATTTTAGAGCTTATATTTCCTATGGAATCCTCGAGATCGATATTCGGGAAATCCCCCTTATTACTACATTGGCAAAATAGTACACTTGCTATTTTATCGATCAAACAACATGTTACAACATCACACATAATATTCTGATGTGATGCATGTTTTAGCAAAATTGTTGCCAATCCTAAAACCGTGGAACCTTCAAACCACATGAGTAAACAACATTACTCTATAAGATATTCACGCAAGGTATTCACATAAGGGATTACAAAAATGTTATAACATATAATTACAAGAAACGAGAATCACATATCTTTTCATTTGAAGAGAAATGTAAAATCCAAAAGGAGTTATGAGAATCAAAATCTTTTTCAGTTAATAGCACTTTTTCCCAATCACGTGGGAGTCTTTCGTACTACCCCATATAAAAAAAGTTAAGACTTTCGCTTTATCTCTTGTAAAAAATAGACATAAGGAGGCATCTGTTTGGTTCTATTTATCAAAATAAACAACGACAATATCCTTCAATTATTTGGTCAAGTGATCTTTAAGTCCTTGACCATGAAACCATAACTTGACGGCGCCAACCTATGAAGCCCGAACACGACACATACACGGACACGAGGACCTTGTTAATGTAAAAAACATATGACACAGACACGACTATATATATATATATATATATATATATATATATATATATATATATATATATATATATATATATATATATATATATATATATATATATATATATATATATATATATATATATATATATATATATATATATATATATATATATATATATATATATATATATATATATATATATATATATATTATAGAGTTACATATGTTTGTGGTCCTCCTAAATATCTCAAATTTCGTTTTTAGTTCCTCAAAATATTTCTTTCAAAGAATGGTCCTCCTAAAATTTTTCATCCACACTTTTGGTCCCTCCTGCAACTTAGTGACGAATTTCACAATTTAGCGACTGAATTAACGACGGTTTTAGCCACGGCTTATTACTTAGCGACAATTTTAGTATTAGGGACCAAAATCATGGATTAAATTTTTTAGGAGAACCATTCTTTGAATGAAATATTTGAGAGGCTAAAAACGAAACTTGATGTCTCCCATAATGCGTGGCTACCCATGAAACGTTTAGCAAAAAGGTGATTACGCATCCCCAACTAAGGGGTTCACCTTCCATTAAAGTGGCACCCTCAGTTGAGGAACTCGCCCTTTAGTCGAGAGACTCGACTCCTATTAGAAAGGGTGCCTTTAGTTGAGGAATCCGCTTTTTAATTGAGGGACTCACCTCCTATTAGAAAGGGTTCCTTCATTTGAGGAACTCGCCTTTTAGCCGAGGGACTTGTCTTCTATTAGAAAGGGTGACTTCAGTTGAGGAACTCTCCATTTAGCTGAGGGACTCGCCTCATATCAAAAGGATGCCTTCAGTTAAGGAATTCGCCATTTATTTGAAGGACTTCCCTTCTATTAGAAAGGGTGTCTTTATCTGAGGAACTCGCCTCCTAGTAGAAAGCACACCTTTAGTTGAGGGATTCACCCCCTAAGGATGAAGGAATCGCTCCCCCTTGAAAGTTTCGCCTTTAGTTGATAGATTCTCCCCCGACCATAAATCTCAACCAGAAAGAAGTCTAAAACCCCCATGTCCTTTACAAAGTCGTCGTGCTTGAGGGATTGTGTAGTGATATATTTGTGAGAACCCTAAATAAGGGCAACCTACACCTCTTCGCCCCACAAAGAATCACCCCAGTGAGACCTTTGTGTGTCATGGGGGACTCGCCCTCAGCAAAGAAGCACACAATACCATCATCCAGACACTAACCACTTTGACGAAGTCACACCACCCCCTAGAAAGTAGGCAGTCAACGGTCTCCTCCATTCTTGAAGGGTATTTTCTCTTAAGGTTTTCTGAACCCTATACCCAATGGGCCTCTACAAATATCTATTTCCTAATGGGAGAAAAGACAAACCATTACACCCACCTTATAACGCATAAAAAAATCCACTCACCTCACGTGAGTTGGCCATCTCTCGCCACTATAAACATCACCAAACGGGGTCTCTCACCACCGTGAGTGAGCCCTAACCACCCTTAACTACAAAATCCTCTGAGTATTCCTCATCCACGTAGGAATTTCACACACTCTTGTACTTTTTGACAAATTCAAGCCTAAAGAAGGTTACCTCGAACCTTATTTACCACGAGGTAGCCCAAAGTAGGGCTCAAGGTAACTCAAAGAACGTTTACCTCGAGGTCGCCCAAAAAGGGGCCCGAGGTAGTTCAAAGAAGGGCTACCTCCAAGTCGCCCACCGAAATGCTACATCAACGTTGCCCAAAGAATGACCTAAGGTGGGCAAATAAGAGCTTCCTCGAGGTAGATCAAAGAAGGGCTCGAGGTAGCTCAAAAAGAACTAAGCCACCTTATTGAACTTAGGCGTAAATACTCGATCTAATCTAGGTTTCCTTCTTAATTTACATGTGTCATACATACTAGCCTAAAAAAACGGTTAAAATAGAGGTTGTAAGTCGTCCTCCTTGCTAATGGGGAGAAACTCCTCCTCACTAAACACAATGAAAAAATGTGAAGCAAATAAACTGATTTTATAGCTCAAGAAAAATCCAATTTATTATGTAAAACATTAAATACATAACTTCTCACCATCCTTACTGAATTTCTTCTAACACCTCAACAAATTTTATAAAAAAAAAAAATCTCAAGAGTCCTAGAGAGTAAGAGATTTGTCACCATTATATTTTTAGCAATTACAATATAAAATTGTATCTAAATCTTGTACTTTTTTTTATAAGCAAAGTTTTTATTTCAACGGTACTTGTTCCTTTATCACATTCAAACTTTTGTTCCTTTCGTCCTAAAGTGAGAATATTCATTCAATTACTCCCCTATTATCACTCACCATTTAGCTATAACAATTTATATATTCATATTGGACACTATGATCGCACAACTACCAATTTGGATTTTGATATTGATTTCTCTCTTTCTCTCCATTCCTGGCGATGACAACCTTGCCTTTGTCCTCTTCATTCAATAGAATTCATCAACTCCATTTCTAATTATTATTATATTCACCCCCAAACATCAACAACATCGTCATTCCTCTCTTTTATCTCCTACTATCTCTCATCTCAATCTCTAATACTATATACTATTTTTATTATATATAATTCAATTCCAACCGCTACAATGCTCAAATTCCAATTCATCAAATTCTCCCCTTTTTTTCCTTCAAAACCCTCGTCTTTCCCTTTTTCTTTAAGACTCAAATCACAAATGGCTTCTTACTCCTCTTCTTCATCTAAGCTTTTGTTTCGTCAGCTTTTTGAAAAGGAATCATCTACTTACACTTACCTTCTTGCTGATGCATCACATGCTGATAAACCAGCACTTGTAAGTTTATAAAAATCTGATTTTTATTTTTCTGTTTGATTGTTTGTGGGATTTTCTTACGTGGGTTGGAATTATTTTTTGAGTTGGATAATGGGTTTCTTTTGTTTTGATGATTGATGAAAAATTGAGTTGTTTGATGATTTTTTTTTTTTGATGAAAAATTCAGTTGATTGATCCTGTTGATAGAACAGTGGATAGAGACTTATCACTCATTCAAGAATTGGGTTTGAAGCTTGTGTATGCTTTGAACACACATGTACATGCTGATCATGTTACTGGGACTGGCCTCATCAAGGTATGTATGTAGTATAATAGACTTGTTGATGATACCTATGAGGTGAGAGTGAGCATTAAATGTTGTTTCCAAGGGTCTGTTTGAATTGACTTATTCGATCTGATCTGAATTATTGACATAAACACTTGTTAGTTATACTGTTTGGGAGAGCTTTTGAAAACATCTTATTACTTGTCCATAAGTTTTTTTAAGGAAACAGCTTATAGCTTATATGAAAACAGCTTGACTTTGTTTTATCTTTTGTTATAGGAAACCTTGTTAGTTGTACAGAAGCACTTATATGATAAATACATATGTTATGTTATAAGCGTTTAATTAAGTTGTTTATCCAAACAAGGTCTAATCAAAATCAAATCACTATCTTAGCCTCTTGAATTAATCATGTGTTGATATATGCTTACCTTAGTCTCTTTATTTTAGATTGGCTTTTTCCCATATTTTTAATCAAGTTGTTATGGTAGTAACTTAGTTTGGTTTTGTTTATCACTTGATTTATCTAGAGCAAAGTTCCTGGTGTAAAATCTGTTATCTCAAAAGCAAGTGGTGCAACCGCAGATGTTTATGTACAACAGGGTGATAAAATCCATTTTGGCGATCTTTATCTAGAGGTAAATCTGCAGCTACATGCCGAGATTGATTTTGTTTATTTTGTTTTGCAATACTAATTACCAAAATGTCAAAGATGCATTACGTTTCGTTGTTTTGTGTAAGACAATGAATGGTTCTCTATATATGCTGCGTTATTATTGTACTATCTCCCTTGTAATGCATATTATTATTTTTATATTGTTGTAGGTTCGGGCAACTCCCGGTCATACCTTAGGTTGCCTTACCTATGTTACAGGAGACGGACCTGATCAACCTCAACCTAGAGCGGCGTTCACAGGAGATACCCTATTGATACGCGGATGTGGAAGGACCGACTTTCAGGTACATGCTGTTTAGGTTTAGCCGATCCTTCTCAACGGTTTTCAAAATTGTATCTAAACAAAAGATATGTTACTGTATTACCTCATTCTTATTGAATGATATAAGGCCGAGTTTCACTCTTACCGGCTATTCTGTAATTTCGTTGTGAAGTTATTTATTGGTATCTATTTCACATCGATTATTATGCAGGGTGGTAGTTCGGAGAATCTTTACAAATCAGTCCATTCACAGGCATGAACTTAACATTTGTTGTGTTACTTGTGTACTGTATTATGTTAATCAGCAACTTGGGAAAATCGATTGAGAAATTTCTTGTTTATTAAATTCGATTATTGATAATGTATTACTTACATCTTTTCTGGAAACAGATTTTTACACTGCCGAAAGATACCTTACTCTATCCGGCTCATGACTACAAAGGATTCTCTGTAAGGAAACAGTTAATGTTTTTTGCTTGAAACTTTTCAAAGTTGCTTACTTGCTTATACAAATACTGTTTATTTTAGGTAAGCACGGTCGGAGAGGAAATACAGTATAATCCGCGCCTAACAAAGGATGAGGTAATGTTTGATCTCAATAAATTAGAAGCTCAATCCACTAGCCTCAGCTCATGTAATAAATATCTCAGTTGAAAATGTTGATCCCTCTTTTGCAGGAAACTTTCAAGAACATCATGGCAAGTAAGTGCTAGTTAAACTTCATAAAACCTTGTTAAATGTTGTAGCGCATCTATTTTAACTGATGATGGCACATTTGATTTGTGGATTTGTGCAACAGATCTTAACTTGTCATATCCCAAAATGATTGACGTGGCTGTTCCGGCTAATATGGTTTGTGGAATCCAATCCAAAACAAGCTGAGCTTGCAGTCTTGTTTGACAGTCAAGTGGCAATGCGATGCTGTTCAACTCGGAGGCGTTACTAGTGAAGGAAAAAAAAAATGTTAATTGTCCTTTGTGTTGAAGAGAAAAATGAAGATTGTAAACAAATAAATTGATGATTATGGCATCAACATTGTGCTCTAGTGTGTTCTGTTCTGTATAGTTATAGAATATAGATGATAAAGTCTCTTATATTTTCAAGACTATTTTTCTTGGAATTAAAAGGATATTTGGAAATAACTAGTTGGAAAATGAGTTAATTGAAATGCAGATAACTGCAATTTATAAAAGAAAGTTGTTCAAATGGCAGTTTTTCATTAGTATTGGAATAGTTTCATTTTTTTGGTCTGAGGAGTAGTTTCACTCTTAAATATGTCTTTTGATATGTGAAATGATTAATCTCTATAGTTGTGGATGAATTTATTTTCCACCCACACTAATAAAACTCAAATATTAGGAGTGTGATTTTGGTGTTAGGGTCCAAGAATCCAAACATATTCTTTTCTCTTCTCCTTTAGTTATATCTTTTCATATTTGAGCAACCAAAAACATTCAAAAATCTTAAACTCAGTACATTGTATCAATCTATGAGAACAAGGAGATATATAAAATTGTGTAAATTATAAGAAAATTAAATTTATAAGTCATACTATGAAGTTATGAAAAAAATTGATTGAACGGAGAGTAAGAAAAGTGAGTCAAGTCATTCAGAATAAATTGTTTTATGTCTGAAATCGATCATGAAAGCTATTCTATACATTATGACGTGTGATGGAGCAGTATTGAATGGACCAATAAGATTTGTACTTAATTTTTATTGAATTGGAGAAGGTTTATGATAGAGTGTCTAGAGAGATTTTGTGAAAAACTTTAGAGAAGAAAGATGTTAAGATTGCATATATATGAAGAGGTATCAACTGATGTGCGGACACTGGGTGGAGAGACAACCGATTTTCTCATTACAATAAATTTGCATCAATGCTCAATCCTAAATCTTTACCTTTTTTACCTTAATTTTGGATGTACTCACATAACACATGCAAGCGCTACCACTGAGATGCATGTTTTTGTGTGTGTGCAGATGATATAGTTATACTTGAAGAGTTTAGGGAGGATTTAAATGAGAGGTTGAAGACTTGAATACGAGCTTTAGAAACACATGATTTTCGTCTAAGCAGAAGTAAGACAAAGTAGATGGAATTCAGTTCAACAAAAGAAAATGTGTTTCTAACCTAAAGGTGAAAGTTGAAAAACATATAATCTCTCAAGTCACACAGTTTAAATATCGAGTCTGTAACACAAAAATGATGGAGAAATAAAAAAGGGATGTAAGCCGTCAAATTCAAACTGGGTGGCTGAAATGGAGGAGGGTTTTATAGGTTTCATGTAACATAAAGGTACCACAAAAGTTGAAGGATTTTTTTCTTCAAATTGCGGTAAAACCTTATTCATTGATGTTTTTAGTGAACAATCACGAGTATGAAAGTGTGAGATTAACTCAAAAAATTCCGTGAGCAATTTTGTACAAACATATGTACAAAAAGTATGTGTGCGAAGTGACTATAAATGTCTGTGTGCAGGCAGAGTAAAGACAAACTTTAACAGCAAAAAAACTTGAATTAAAGTAAAAGAAAATTGTAATAAACGACATTAAATAAACGTAGTAAATGACAGAAAGTAAAAAATTTCAATTAAGGAAAAATGAACAATAAAGGAAAAGGACGCAGACTCACATGTTCCTCACAAATTGTTTTACACTTTGACTTGGGTACTTCAGTTCTATAGAGAAAGTATATGAAATTTGCAACCTCAATTACAACATATGAAACTGTTATATATAATAAACTAAAGATAACCGTCTCTGACAACTTATTTCTAGAGAATAGACACGTCTTAAAAAACATGCAACTTGATCTTCTGATGCACTGCCACATCGTCGATACTTAAAAACTGAAGAAAACCATTATCACACGTTCGTAACCGCTCTTAGCGACTAGTAACTACCTGCTCGTCGAGGGTGATTGGTGACAACGCTAAGTCTCCTTTCCAATCTTTAGTTTCTAAAATCTTCTAAGTCTTTGAAGTCCGTAGAATGCTTCGACTTCAACACAGTATCAAGTGATCAATTAGATATGTTTCTGAGACTCCTCCAAACCGTGTCTCAATGCTCTTGAGATTCTTCCAAACTATGTCTCAATTGCTAGTTGAAATGCTCCAGCCGACGTGCCCCTTCTTGTTGACTTGTGTCAATCAATACTAACAATTAGCATTTCCCAATGCAAAATTCAATTGACTTTTCCCATATAGAATTTCCACTCTAACAGATGCCCCCTCAAAATGCCATTTTCGATCATATGGTTAGATGGAAGAAAGATGACGTTTTTGTACTTTTCGACACTATTTGCCTAGTCTGTACATGTCACATAAGTAAAATGTTTTATTATTTAATTATTTTTTCTTGGTCATCGTGACTACTTTCTACCAAAACTTCACGTTACAGACGTGCGTGCAACTAATCATCATCATCCCCTATTTCTTAGGAGATTTGATTAGAACAAAAATTAAGACAACTCTTTAATTTCATTTTCATCTTTTCTGATGATCCTTAGTGCCAATTGTCGACCTAAGTGCTCCAGGTGCCCAAAATCATCTAGAGGGAAAACATAAACATCTTCTTCCATTGGCTATTTAACACATTATCACTCAATCCCTCTTCTATTTTACCATCTCCCTCTTCTGAAAACACTATTAGAGAAAAGAAACCCTAGAGTTTTTCTACAGTTTTCTTCTTCGTCACCACTTCCTTCTTTAAGAAAACCTTTGAGGTCAACAATGATTCCAAAAGTTTAATCACATCCTACTTTAGCTACTGATATTGAGGAGCCACTATTCATGAACGATTGTTCCTACATTCTTGAACCTCCCATGAAGGATGGACGAAGAAACATCTAGTACAATACTACTTCAATTCCCAACTCCATTACAGGTACCATATATGCATTCTTGGGTTCTATCCCTAAGAGTATCAAGAAGCCCCAAGTTCTAAAGGAGTCATTTCCTTCCTTCCCTGGTTATAAACCCCTGGTGTTTGTGGATGCCTATTTGATTTTAACATCTTCAAGATTAGAGTCTTTCGTTTGTCTCCTTCGATTGAGGATGCGTCTTACATCCAATGGTCAGATATTAAGAAAAGTAGAAACATTTTTTTAAAGGATTTGGGCATCTTTGACCTAATCCACCTATCACGAGTTGGTCCCTAATACAACTTTCACATGCTCATTATAACTATGTGCTTCTGGGATAGCTTGACTAACACCTTTCACCTTCCTTGTGGGATGATAACCCCCACACTTTTCAACATTGTTGATATCGTTTATCTTCCACCAACTGGAGGGGCCTTTGAGCCTTTAACCAAAATAAAAACAAGTCTCGAGGTTTAGCTTCACCCGAATTGCTTACAACTTATTCATCGAAGATCACCAGGCTTCAAAAAATAGAGTGGATGCCTAGGAACACATTGCCTTCTTGACCTACTAGATTTCCAAGTATATTTTTTGTTATCGATCTATTCATGTAGCTAAGAAGTATTTCTCTTTGACCACCTAACTTCATGAAGGAGGAAAAATATGCCCCAACAAATTGATTCTATGTGGCCTGCATGAATCTTTTGGGCTTGCCTCCCAAGACCTGAAGAAAAGAACAAATCCTTAGAGCCTTCAAGTAGGTGGCCCCATCTGGATTTTACAATTGTGGCTCAATGCCACTTTCAAACCTTCCTTAAAAACCACAATTCCTCCTAGCTCAGAGGTAGGAGTCGAAAGTCCAAGGCTTGACCAACTTACTCTGACGATGGAAAAGTTGTGTCTGAGGAGGTCTTTGAGACTTACTTCCAAATGTTCTACATGTGCAAGACGTTTACTTTGACTATGGAATCATTTTCCAGTCGACAACGTGAACCTGAATGGTTCAGGAAATAATTTCCTAATTCGTCCCGTCAAGAAGAAAAGGAAATACATGATACTTTGCTCGCATACTTCCAACCCACCATTGCGTTGATAAAGTTCACCTCCTCCAAATCTCGAATAAGGGTCGTTGCTTACCAGCCAAACCTGGCAGCTAGACAGTTTGGTTTGAGCCAACTGCTTCCTAAAAGCTTAGTTCCTTAACCCGAGGTTTTTTTCTTCTCTACCGACAAACCTAATGAAAGGTGGCTTAAAAGATGCCATAAATTTTGCAAAAGGAAAGAGGTTTTCCTCGGTTCCTTCGAATTTTCACTCTCTTATCATTGCACTCAGAGTTTAAGGAATGATGGACACTTCATTACGCTGATGTGCCATATCATACAATCATCGCCAAATGCTTGGTCGATGTTTTCTCTTTCCTAAGGGACCAGGTAATATTTGTTCGACTAGATCTAAAGTGATGCTCAACTTATCTTGCCTTAATTTCCTCTTGGATTCTAATTCATTTCTATGTACCTTTATAGGCATTCCATCCAATCCAATGGCGTCGACTGCTGACTCTCAAGGCACTAGCACTACAGGAATTTCACAGGTAAAAAGAGTATCTAGCCTTCTTTTCATTTAGTTTTTTGTTGTCGACATCCTATTCTATTTTGAAAGAAAGGGAATAACTCTTATGTTACAGGGCCTTCGAGGACAAAGCAACTAAACGAGGATGTCGACGACTCCTCTAGCGAAAACAAATATGGTATGTACCTTCTTCTTTCTTACTCTTTATTTGACTTCCTTTGTTAACTTAATAAAACATTTTTGAACCATGTAAATCTCTTCAAAAATAAAGTGAGTTTGACCTTAGTGACAAGATTCTGGAATCTCCTCCCCTATCCCTCCAAAACACCATATGAGGGTGACTATCAAAGTTGTTGATGCCAACTTTTCACATCAAGGGGTAGACAAGACCAATGTTAAAACTTATGGCCTTCGAAAGAAAAAGAGGATTAGGCATTAAATAGTCACA